GCATTAGGCCGATTTAGATCTTACATAATGCATCTTTAAACTTTAAATGTTCATCAGGTGAATGTCCTGACTGATTTCATTAACAAACATATTTTACAAGGCTAAGAACTGTCTTGTTTTTCAAACCTTTTGGAACACAATAACTCGGTTTCTTATTAAGATGGAATGTTCCAACATGTAGATGTTCAATATGTGAATGGATTGCCTGTCTGTCTGATGATATGCATTTTCTGCTTGGGCTAAACACTGTCTGTCCGTCACTACTTTTAGAACTAAATAAGTCTGCTTCTGATTGAAGTATATAATATTAAAACTTGGTGTAGATGTTCAGTGAAATAACTGCATATTTTGAATTAATTGTCAGAAAATACCAAATTTTTCACTGCTTAATCTTTGCTAATATTAATTTGGAATAAAAAAAATCGAAATATCAACGACAGATAATCTACCAAGGGTGGTCCTTATTTTGCAAAATTTTGAAAAATTAAGAGGCTACACTCAATTCATGTTGGAATTGATGAGAAAGAAATGAAAAAAAAAAAAAATATAAAACATTTTTAGTGGGTGCTACTGTCTATCAAAGTTCAAACAAAATGTGACTTTTTGGCATTTTTTCAATTTTTTATATTTTTATGGAAAAAAGTTATACATGAAAAGAAATGTTGTTTCCTGGTTCATTAGAATGTGAACAAGACAAAAATAATATTTATAAAGTTACAGAAGATTTGTCCAGGAAATTGTATCTTTTTCCTAGACCTTTACTTTTAGCCCTACTGTTGTGGCTTCCGGTGTAATTCAAAGGGTCTGCCCTCGGAGCGATCTAGCTTAGCTTATACACTAAACCACTTGGTCTCATAGTAAGACATCATGAATTATTATTTCATCTATATGCGGATAATACACAATTGTACATTTCATTCAAACCTATTAAAAGTGACTTTCAAAGCTGAATATTAAAACTTGTATTGCAGACATAAAAATTTGGATGAAAAACAATTTTTTGAAACTTAATGCAGATAAGACAGAATATTTAGGTCTTCTTTTTAACAGGGAAAAGTGAAACTTTGATCAATCTATACATGTTGCATTGTCACTTCTCCGTCAGTCAGAAATATTGGTTAATTTTTAATTCAAATTTTTCTTTGGAAAATTACAAAAACAATATCTGTATAAAAGTTGTTTTAATTTAAGAAACATCGGTGAAATACGTCAATATATTCATTAGTTATTTCTCACATAGGTGAAATACGTCAATATTAATACACTAATATTAGTTATTTCTCACGTAGGTGAAATACGTCAATATTAATACACTAATATTAGTTATTTCTCACGTAGGTGAAATACGTCAATATTAATACACTAATATTATTAGTTATTTCTCACGTAGTTCTGTCCTATATGGTGTAACCCTCAAACAACTTGACAAACTGCAAAAGTTAAACATATTATACAGGGATCATATCACACCAATTCTATATAAACTACACTGGTTTCCTGTCATTTTTAGAATTGATAATTAGATTTTATTATCAGTTTTTAAATGTATAAATAACCTGGCACAGCTTTTATGTTGTTATGAATATCGTCGACAATAGGTCTTAAAGTGATAATTTGGTCCAAAAACTGTGTAATGTTTATGACAGAAAAGTACATGACCGACCGGATGAGATAAACTTCCTTATTCCATCTTCTAAACAAGAGAAATTTTAAATGACGACAGAGAAGTACATGACCTGATACTTTATATGGAAGTCTATTCCACAGTTTTGGGGCATCAACCTCAAAAGTCTTCTCGCTGAACTTGATGAGATTGGCATCTTTCTCAGTATAACGCTAATTCACTGTAAGTTGGTATCATTTAATCTTGTGCATTTAGCATTGATTTCATTCACGTTTGTTTAATATCAAATCAATTAATATCACCAAAAATCATACAATTTGTACTTATTTCCATTTTAAAGCTGACCATTCAGTTTTGATAAATAGTGTCCAATTTACCAGCGTTTAATTTCTCGATCACTGTTAAAAAATAAACAACCCAATTGATTATTGATGTATAATGATTAATTTTTGATCAGAGGTCAGGAAATTAAATATTTGTAAATTGGACACTCACAAGTAAAAATGAGATGATTTTGGATGATTATAAATGATTTTTACGAATTTTTAAACAAAGATTTGATATTAAACGAAAGTGAAAGAAATAAGTGCTGATACACAAGATTAAATGGTACCTGAGTTACAGTGTTATCACTTGGAAGACAGTAATTGTCAACAATAAATATTTACATTATTTTAGCTAAAATAACTTATTTTACAGATATTGTTTATGAGATTTTCCGAAGAAAAATTTGTATTAAAAATTACACCAATATTTCTGGCTGACTGAGAAGTGACAATGCAATTTTTTCCTGTTTTTTCCGGTTTAAAGAAGACCCAATAACCAAATATTTTGTCTTATCTGCATTAAGTTTCAAAAAATTGTTTTTCATCCAAATTTTTATGTCTGCAATACAAGTTTTAATATTCAGCTTTGAAAGTCACTTTTAATAGGTTTGAACAAAATGTACAATTATTGTGTATCATCCGTATATAGATGAAATAATAATTCATGATGTCTTACTATGAGACCAAGTGGTTTAGTGTATAAGCTAAAACATGATCAGTCTGTGGACAGAAGGGCTAGAAGTAAAGGTTTAGGAAAAAGACACAATCTCCCAGAAAAATCATGATGTCTTACTATGAGACCAAGTGGTTTAGCGTATAAGCTAAAACATCATCAGTCTGTGGACGGACCCTTTGGTTTACACCGGAAGCCACAACAGAAAGGCTAGAAGTAAAGGTTTAGGAAAAAGACACAATCTCCCAGAAAAATCTTGGTTTTGCCAATTTTCGAACCTCTGTATAAAACACTGGTATCACTTCTGTAACTTTATAAATATTATTTTTGTCTTGTTCACATTCTAATTAACCAGGAAACAACATTTCTTTTCATGTATAACTTTTTTTCATAGAAATAAAAAAAATTGAAAAAATGCCAAAAAGTCACATTTTCTTCGAACTTTGATAGGCGGTAGCACCCTCTAAAATGTTTTTTATTTATTTATTTTTTCTATTTTTTTCTCATCAATTCCAACATGAATTGAGGGTCGTAGCCCCTTAAATTTTCCAAATTTTGCAAAATAAGGACCACACTACTCTGGCATGGGTTCAGTCGGATACAAACAAGCCCATCAACCAGATTTTACAAAACATAAAGATGGTGGCAGCCTTGTTTTACATAGAGTATACAGGTCACAATTCTATGGAATACAATTACTGCTTTTTACTGAGCGACGTTTCGACTAGGCTTCTCTAGTCATTATCAAGCTATGATAAAAAATGAAAATATGACAGGACAATATATACATGTACACAACAATGCTTAGTTAATGCTGACAAACAGTAATTGTATTCCATAGAATTGTGACCTGTATACTCTAGTTCAATTACTAAATGCCATTGAAACAGTTTTACATAGAGAGCTGCATAGATTCCGGTAGATTGAATTTCAATTCCACATATCTTTGTACATACTGAACGGATTTGAACCATTTTTGGACTGATATTCCTTTTAAAGATTCAACTTTTACAATATTTAAATGATTGGTTCGTCAATCTGTCCGTCTACACATCTGTCTAAATTATAAACCAACAATTAAAATGACTGTTTCATATATTTTTACTTTGAAACCACAATTTACTTTCAATTCTATTTTCAAACAAATACCAGTCGACCCCAATGACAGCAGTGGGAGTATATGCTCATAATAGTGACAACCCATTTGACTCAGATTATATGACAACCACAATTGACTTTACTTTTTTGCAATAAGAAAAAAAATTTAAGATCATAGCAGAAATCAGGGGTTTTTTTTAAAATCTACATGTATAAATTATTTTTTTAACACTAGCAAGAGAGAGAGAGGTGTCCACTTAACCTAGGTTATTCAAATACAATCATATGAGAGACAGAGAAATGGGGTTTAATGTCCACTCAACAAAATCTAGGTCATTTTGGGACTAACACATGGTTCAATTTTAATTTCTATAATTCCCTTGCGTGTAGGAGTCTTTCTTTAGCAATGGGAGGAAACCGGAGGACCCAGAGAAAATCAACGAGGTTGGACAAGCAACCCTACTTCCTGTCATATACAAGCGGGGAATTGAAACCACGCCACTTGACAGACCTTCTCATTGCGTTAAACATTTGACCACCCAACCCCTCTACTAACATATGGTAAATTTATTTCAATAATTCACTTGTGAATAGGGTTCTTTGGCAGTAGGAGGAAACCAAATCACTGACCAAGGCCATACAATTTGAAAATTGTTTACTAGACTCAAAGTGTATCAAGACCCTCAGGGTTGGATGGCCGATTGGTTAGCACATGCGCGCTGTATCATACGGTCTGTCATTGAGTCAGCTGGCCGGGTTTCGATTCCCCCAGTTGTGCGTGATAAGGAGTAGGGTCGCCTGTCCATTTTTGTTGGTTTTCTTCGAGTCCTCCGGTTTTCTTTCACTGCTAAATACCCCTACGCACAAGCGAATTATTGAAAAACAATTGAACCATGTGTTAGTCCCAAAATGACCTAGTTTGTGTCGAGGGACGTTAAACCCCATTTCTCTCTCTCTGTATCAAGACCCTGAAGAAATGAACTAAGTTTGGTTTAGTTTTAGCAAGCTTTTCTCATTAATTGGGCGAATTTAAAACTGACATTATAACCCCATGCACTAAGATTGAACACCAGTAAATGACAGTTTGAGTTTTTTATACAATCAAATTACAATTGACCTTTATATTGTCGTATCCACTTATGTTAAGGAATGACAAATTTGAAAGGAAAATTGGGTACAAAAAACAAAATGAAATGGGATTAAACATCCTAATGAGGAGGGGAAAATGGGGTTACAAAATTAATGCCCAAATAAATCAATTTTGTTTATTTTTATCTAGGATGGAAAAAGTGGTCGAACAGCGTTGTACCATGCTGTGGAATGTGAGAAGAAAAGTATTGTCAGTCTGCTTCTCAAAAGGGGAGCTAATCCAGAAATACAGAATTATGCTGGTAATACGGCCATAATGGCTGCCCAAGCAAGAAGTTTTACTGACATATCATATCTGTTAACTAGTAATGTTAATGATTTAAATGATATGGAAGTTGATGAACAATCTAATGAGGTAGGTTATATTATGTTCCTTTTATTATATATGCCTATGTCACACTCCACATATTAATACCTGATGCTGATGTGCCCTTTGCATTTTTAGCTAAAATATCACCTCTCACGTCTTAATCCGAGCAAATATTAACATTTAATTAGGAAAACCAAAATTAAAATACTAACGTAAGATAAATGTCTGAGCTTGGATTTTATTAAATCGGATTTAAAAAAGGACTATCAATACTGTTTTCGCGTGACAACAAAATGGCAAAAGGTTATAGGGGCGGGTACAGGAACTTTGAAAAGGGGGCTGCTATAACGAGTATGGTACACTTTTTTTTTTACCATATTGCCCAGAATAAACCTACAGCAAGTGAACTTAACAATGAACAATACAAATATATACTTCTATGTTTTTATATAATAAAGGACATGTTGATTTGTGCCTTTTGAGATTTTATAACATTTTATATAATATAATGACAAAGTCAGTGGAAAGTTAATTGCATATTAATGTCCTGACAGGCCAAACCAAGTTAGTAGATTGTATTTTTATATGTATAAATGACCAGTGGAGCCAATTAATGCGAAACAATTTTCATAAATCACTATTTAAATTTTAATCTTTCAAATGACCGGTCCATACCTCAAGCCTTTTTTTAATCTTACTTAAAATCCCTTAAACCCCACTGTTCCGACAGTCCAGATTAGTTGGGTAAGCGACTAAGCATATTATTACGAAAACCCTAACTAAGGATAAATAAATGTAGAAAATGCCATTGAACCATTTTGGGACTGATATTCCTATTAAGAGAGGGGATCACGTGGCTAAGTGGGTAAGACGCTGGCTCGCTAGCCTGGAGGTCGGGTGTTCGATCCCTGCATTGGCTGAAAAAGTTCATCCAGATTTTCCGGCGTGGTTTCCCCTTGTCAGTGATGCAGGACGGGGGGCTTGACAAGGATAGCTGTCTAGTCGTTCGAATGGTACGAAAAACCGAGGTTCCGAGTACAAATTGGCGTGCACGTAAGTGATCCCTTGGCAGTTGGAATTCGATATAAGAGTAGGCCGTAGCGCCGCTGCCTGGGCAAAATTTTCCCTCATAGCACACTGTATGGCGTATGCCCGTCTTCATTAGTCCAGTCTAGGAGCAAAGCAGTAGGACGTTAAACCCCATTTCATTTCATTTCCTATAAAGAGAATTATCTTTCACAGTATTGTAGTTTGCAAGTGATTCTATAGTGCTAAAAATGATGCATCAGGGACATACAATCAATGAGAGTGCCCATCAGGGCTGCCGACAACCAGTATCGCAGCGCAATTTGCGATACATATTTTGTCCGTTGCTAATCAAAAATTAAAATCTAAAGTTTTTGATTCGCAGTAACCGCGAATCATTAATATGCTTGTCATTTTGGATATTGACACAAGGATAATCCACATTTGAAGACTAGAAAGCTTTCTCAACAATTTCAACGAGTATAAAATGTTGAATAAAATTTTATAAACAAAACTGAATTCTCCGTGTGACATTTTCTTCTCGAACTACCCAGACACAATTCATTATACGGTACTATGTAATACAGGGACATAACTCTATGAATAGGGACTATTAAACCGGAAACAGGGAATCAAGTAGTACCACTCACGTTGCGAGACATCAAGTAATTATATGATATTTTGAAAGAAATAAATCCAGTGTATCCTCTACGTATTGTAAATAAAATATAAAAAAATAAATGTTAACGTATTGTAAAATGATAAATCAAAGTAAAAATTCCCGTAAAATATCACGTGTCTAGTCAATCGAGGTGCGCCCGATTGAACAAAAAAAGCAATACACGATAAAAAGCAGACGAAATTGTTTTCTAACGAAGATTTCTAACGTATAAAAAATAACAATTAAAATGATTGGGGCTTCGGAAGTCACTGTTAAGAATTGGCTTCAGACATAAGACCTAACTAAATGTCTACATCACATTCACAAACTGTCACAAGTACTTGTGGCAGTCCTAAAAAAATCTAAGATTAGTAAGAATGGAATCTAATCATATTTTTTATGAACTAAAGTAATATCTTGTTATTTAGGTGTTTTATGTTGAAACTGAAAAACTGCTAATCAATTTTTAAATTTGCTAATCAAATTTGGCAAAATTGGACTTTTTGATTAGCAGTGCTGCTAATCAACCGTGAAAAATTACCGACAGCCCTGGTGCCCATATATCATTGGGACCTCTTCATGCCACTGTATAAACATATTAGTGACAGTAGAGAGTAGGTGCAACAATATTTAATTTCCTGTAGGAAAAAACATTGTTTGAAGCCTAAATATGATCATATCTTCAATATCTGTGACAAGAGACAAAGTGGAGCAAAACAAAATCCCTAATATAAAAGCTGCCACATTTCATACTAAAAATATAAAATACCCTAAATATTAAAAATATATTAGGGAATCTAAGAGAATTTAATTTGTACTACTGTTTTTTTTTTTTTTCAGGATGACGTTTCAAGTGATAAAATAACATCAGAAAAACCTCACTACCATCATGTGACACCAGTCATTCAATATGTTAAAAGTGATGCAAACACACCACCTGGTGTCATTCGTGTGATAGATCAATCGGCTGTGGGCCCTGCTCAAAATAAAAATGTATTAACTTCGGTGATGAAAGCTAAGATCGATGACTTTCCAGCTATGGAAAGGATATTGCAGTCTAATGAATTGCATGCTGTAGAAAATTACAGCACTGAAAATTTACCAGGTCCAGCTTTGGGACTGTTAGAAAATATGGAGAAAAGTGAGAAAACATGTTCTAAGAATAATTCAAAAAACAGGAAATCACCAGACGCTGTTGCCATGGGAACATCTACAAATAATTCCAAACTAGAAACAGAAACTGTTAAAATCTCTGTGACAACTACACAAACCAGCGAAAAACATCCGGCAATAGTTCCAGAACGACTAATATCGTCCGCACGAACTCCGGTCACCATTCCAACAGGAATTCAATCCTATATTAATCCTGACCTTAGAGCTAAAATACAACAAAATTTGATAAATAAAAAGTTGAAAGCCCAATTATCCGAGGAGAAAAAAGACTGAATATATGATAACTCCTCTCTATTTTGGGGAACACTTCACCAATTATGATTTGTTTTTGTTTTTTATTTCAAGACACTAACTGTAAATGCTTAGAATAACAAATTTGAAATGGCCATTTTAACTGCATTTAGACATATATTAATTTAAACATTATGTAATGGTGATTTATTTAAACTTGAGAATAAGAACAGAGAGATGGCTAGAATATGAGTTGATCAATCTAATCCTGATACAAACAGACACATAGTGGATGTTTAATGTTAAAGCTGATTTGTTTACAACCTTGAAATATACACAATTAAGGTAGATAATCCTTCGTTGAATACTGCAGTAATGTAAATGTAATTATATATTAGTTTGCCATGTATATAATTGTCTCATCCGAATTGAGTAAAGATACATGTTTAATTGTCTCATCAGAAGTGAGTAAAGATACATGTTTAATTGTCTCATCAGAAGTGAGTAAAGATACATGTTTAATTGTCTCATCAGAAGTGAGTAAAGAAACATACAATTAGCTCATCAGAAGTTAGTAAAGATACATGAATAATTGATTCATCAGAAGTGAACAAAGATATGTGATTTTTCTGCACATTGTGTTGTTGGACCTGAATCATACTGGTCTATTTATAGCACAAGAGTGTATTGTTAAAGGGGCAATCCCAGGTTTCACAAACCACCATTAGATAAATATGAATATCAAATTCCAAAATGGCATGATATAGCCTATTTTCTTAAAAGGGTTATATACATGTAATTCATTTAAGAAATTTCTCTCTTCAATTGTATGAATCACTTGATAATCGTGATCGCTGTGACTGCAGCAATTGTACAGATACGGTTATCCAGGCATTTACCGATTGTGGAATTTGGAGACTTATGGCAAATACCAGGTAGAAATTGAAGGAAGAAGCAATTCAGATTAGGTCATTTCACAGGACAAGGATAAAGATTTGCAAGTCTTTCACCCCGATTTAACCCTTTGAATTCACTCAAATGTATCTGGGACTGTTCCTTTAAACTAAAGACTAAAATCAATATATTAAGAATTTACACAAATTTGGTTATTTAATTAACTTGATTCAAGAAAAATATTTGATCATCCAGAAAATATGACACATAGTAGATAATTAATGTTAGTATTTTGTAAATGCTTACTGTATTTAAAATCTGTGTCCTGAATGGATATTGTTAATGTTTCATATGAATGGATTTTGTTTAGCCAAGTTTATTGTATTTTACAATATGAATGGATTTTTTTTAGTGCATTGTACAATATGAATGGTTTTGTACAATGGGAAAGGACTTTGTTTAGTGTATTGTACAATATGAATGAATTTTGTTTAGGGCATTGTACATTATGAATGGAGTTTGTAAATGGATTACACATGAATATTATTGTTATATATACAAGTATGTGAATGAGGCGGGTCTTCCCATATCGCTGAATCACCAAAATTTGGAAAGTCGACTGCGGCACTCTTTGATGAGTTAAAAACGGATTAAAAGCGTTAATGAGGCAGGGACCAGTCATTATTAATATAGTTCAATTAAATTGATTTTATCAGAATTCAACTCAGTCACTAATTAATAAAATGAATATATTTCACTTAAATTACATGAACTTGAATTTTGTCAGAATTCAACTCACATTCGAAACATAGACATGAACAAGGAAGAATAAATTTGTTAGAATTTTTGGACTATATTGGACACTTTATGCGTGCAAAAAGTTAAATTTATGTGTTATGTTATGTGTTAAAAATAAATGCTCCCAATATTATCTGCTTACTTAGTTTTATCCTTCAGCTTGGGTCTATTGTTCTTGACCACTCAACCCCTTAACAATAACCAAAATTTTTCACCTAAAACTTGGCGAGTCAGCGATATGGGAATGAACCGAATGAGGATTATATGAATTTTCTTTGTAAACTGACCCACATGCATGTATATGAAACCCATTTAAACCAAGGATGTATATAACAGTCTTACTCTTTAATTGAACTATTTGAATTTGAATTGTCCAGGATTTCTTATTAATATGTTATAATTAAAATCTGACAATCTGGTGGACGGTTTGGAATAGGTGGGGGTAGAGACCCATTGGTTTAGTGGTCTAATGTAATCAAAGTTATTATAAAGTTACACCCGCTTAAATAAAGGGAAACACCGGCAATTACAGATTCTTTATATTTCATTCATTATCTGGTATCTAAATAGTTTTCACCATTTTCAACCCAAAGTTACTTTACAAATATTTCAATGAATGAATACAAAGGCTCTGATGTAAAAAGAGTAACTGTCAGCCACTGTACATAAAAAAAGGACAGGCGCTATAATAGTCTTTGATCCAACACCTTTCCTGTTTATCAAGTAGAAGGAGAAGCTGTTATTGCATGGTTTTGTTTATACACAGTAATAGCAAAACTCAATGTAACCACCACATCTTAATTTGTTCATAACAGGTGAAGTGATCTGTACTTCAGGTTCTGCATTGTGAAACCTTTTGATAGCTAATTAAATGAATATAATAAGTAAAATGACTCGAACTCTCATTCAACATATTATAGGTATTATTGGTCATTTCCATGTACAAAAAGGTTGTTTATCAAAAATTGGTGTATATTTGTTGTTATATTATATTCATCGCACAGAAACAATTATATTTATTAATATGGCAGAAATAATTGTACAATGGTTAATTGTCCAGAATTACTTGAGCATTTCTATTAAGTGCCACCTATTTGTAATGGAATTTTGAATACAATCCCAAGTTATGGTGTGATTCTCTAAAAATAAAATAAATTGGTTTATTTTATTTTATTGCAAAGCACATCTACGTATTAAGAAGTGTTTTTTTTTTTTGTTTCTTTCTTTCTTTGTTTTTTTTTTTTAAATTCAAATCAATTTAGATTATGTTTAACATACTAAAATATCTTATATCAATATATAGCTGGAAATATATGTGAACCAATTTGTTTGAGCGGCATTTAGTAACTGGATGAGAGTAACAGATGACACAATTTATGGAATACAAGTTACTTGAAAGATTTATTTCAGACGTTTCGACAGGGTTCTCTTGTCTTTATCAAGCAAAGAATGACAACCATAGTACCATACCATACAGTTGTATATTGATATTGGTATATAGATTTTTTGGTGGATGTACTTATTATACAACTACGGTTGCATGCACATACATTTACTTTTTCATCTGCACTTTGAAACAAATTTGAAAAAATTTGTGGCTCCCATTTTATGGAAATCTTGCTGTGTCACTGCCATCAAGACAAATTCTTTAATACCGTACTTCTAATTTTCCAGAGAGATATTGGAAGAGGTTGATCCGGTGTTGAGATTTTAAAATTTTTCTTGTCAGACATTTTCACCGAAAATAAAGGTGCATAACTCTTATCATTATTTAAGCAGGCGGTTTCAGACCACAATTAAAAACCATGTGTCAACAAAATATTTAAATCCATACTAATAAAAATAATAGGTGCAACTTGTTTTTTTTTTTTCATATTTAATTCCTGTACCTTATTCAAATTTATGTCATTAATATTCATACAAAATTATGTATTGTCGTAATACGGCCGTTAAACATAGCCAGTATATCTTGTGTTTGACGCTTAAAGATCAATGTAGTCATATGCATATGATTTATAGTATTGGGGGGGGGGGGGGGGTGCCTTAAAGAATAAATTGATTTGAATGAAATTTTCAATATATATATTCATTTTTCATAGCAAGAACAGCCAGCTCTTACATAAATCATGAATAATACATCTTTAAGGGTTGAACATAGAATTTGATTTATAAGAAAGTGTCAAATACTAGAAGTCAACATTTGTATCCAAAAAAATGTGGCCTGTTGTGACGTCACTGGTCAAACATGAGTAGCTTCATATAACAAGATACTGACATTATATTATGATGGCATTGATTAGCCTTTCATTTAATTTCTTTAATCAATGTATTGTATTGTTTTCAAGGGTGTTATGTTTAATAATATCATTTCATTTTATATTTAAGAAAATACTGAATATTAAAATTATTGCGACTGATGATGGGTCACATTTAACTTATTAATCTCTTGTTCGCTTTAACTTTATACACCCATATTGTCGTCTCTTGTATGTCAGTCCATTCGCCAATGAACAATTTCTTGTGAACAAAATTTTATTCAATTTCTCTTACTCTATTGATCAGAAATTTCAGAGCTATCCCCCTATTCTGAAACCCTGTTAATGCCATACACTACACAGTTCTAGATAGAACTGGATCAAAATCTCTGGGATTGTTCAAAGATAACCCAATCATTTTTCTAAAAACAATTTAATCATAAATTCCAAAGTGTGTTTCGCTAGGAGATATTTCCCTGGTTACATTTTGACATTTAAATTTTGTGAATGCGTTCGAGGACAACTATGGTTAACATTGCTGTTGGTGGGTGTATTAAGGGGTCTGGCAAGCTCCCATCTTTGTTTCGTTTCACGTATTACAAATGTGTATTTACTTATTGTAAATGAACAATGTGTAGAAAATATACTTATTATGATTAAGAGAATAATATTTGTATTAATGTTTGTTTATTTTTATTGTATTGGTATATTATTTACATTGTATATATTGTGAAAGATTTTCAATTCACATTACATTATGATTAGAATATAATTGAAAAAGTGCTACTTGTATTATAATAATGGCAAATTAAATCATTCTAAAATCCCTTTCTAAGAGGTTGTTATTTTAATGCCAATCTGATTAAAACACAGATCCTATTTCGTTTCATTTTTATAGTTCAAAATTTCGTTTTACTTTACACTAGGATCTGGAAGAGTTGTCATCATTGATATGTTCTGAATGATGTGAGGGATTAGCCAATGAAACGATCTGTTATGGGGAACTTTAGGCGTGTTTTGCACGGAACTGTGGGTAATCCACTAGTAATATCAATGCTGATTGGTTGATCAAATGTCTGTTGTCATAGGGTCAAAAGCTGCTTGTATGACCTCTGACGCGACCTATCGCTACAACCAGTCAGATCTTCATGGAGTGTAGGCCATGGAAAGTATAAAAAAACGAAACAAATTATAGATCTGTATTTTAATCAGATTGTATTAATGCCGGAGGCCTTGGTCAATAAGGCACTGGCTTGTTCTCAGTGTTGAATGATAAAGTTTCTCTGGATTTTTGGGTGGTCTTTCCTCCTGTCAGTAGTACAGGATGGAGGGTCTGGGAAGGAACTGGGTCTAGTTATTTGGATATTACGAAAAACTGAGGTCCTGTGTACACATTGGTGTGTATGAAAAAAAAAATCCTTCACAGTGGAATTCGAAATAAGATAGCTGTGAAGCTGCTGACTGAGCAACGTTTCCCTTGCAGAATATTGCACAGCTTTAGTTTGTCTTCGTTAGTCCATTTGGTGCAGAAGAATAGAATGTTAAACCCCATTTCACTTTTATACGCTCTCATTGAAATGTGGTTTTATATTGTCATGGACCCCGCCCAGCCTCTAGAGGCTAAAGTTAATATCCAATTGGACCAAGAAGGCTACTGATTTTCAAAGATTTTCGATAATTACTGTCAGCCTTTGAAAAATCTTGTGGACACTCTAGAGGCTACAGTTAATATCCGATTGATTAAATTTATACACAGTATTTGAGATTATAAGAAGAAGAGATCTATCGATTTTCAACGCTTTCTGATAATTATTGCCAGAGTTGTGGCTCGGTGATCACTTTGAAATATCTTGTGAATGCTCCAGAGGTGAAAGTGAATATCCGATTGGCTTTAAATTTGTACACAGTGTTTTAGATCATGAGATTAATTAGCCTATTGATTTTCATCGATTTCCAATAATTTCTGCCTAAGTTATGACCCTTGATCACTTTGAAAAATATTGTGGACGTTCTTAAGGCAAAAGCTTATGGTCCTTGATAATAAATGTTTGTATACTAAACGTTAGCATAAGGGCTAAATCTGCCAACTGTAGCTCTTTTATAAGGGCTCAAATATAATATAATTTATTAATTAGACATTTATTCACACGACAAGCCCATAATCAACTCACTAGAACTTTGGACGGTCGCGATTTTCATTGGACTGAAACCTGATCTCCATTTAATAATTGAAACAGTCAGGACTTCGCTCAGAATTAAGTAATCTCTTTTCCATTATCTTTTTTAAAACTATTATTACACGAATGATCAGATCTTTATCTAAATCTTACACAGTGCATCTTTATTGGATTGTTACTCATACTCAGAGTGTGTTGTAAGTTTTTACATTACCAACAAAAGAAAAATATATGCAACAACCCTTGTTGACTGCCCGGACGATTTAGCTGCTGTGGGCATATGTTTCGTTGCCTGGCAAACTATCTTGTTTTTAATGCCTATGTTAAAATATAATGTGGTTTTCTAGCACCAATGGATGATCACGTTTCAGTCATCAAATTTGCCCATGGGTGATAAGTAGTTTTTATGTGTTTTAAAGGAAATATTCTACATTCTAACAATAGATAGACCGGCTAACAACCACAGAATCTCCAAGCAACTTTTTAAAATTTTGTTGAAGTCACACTACATGAAATATCAAAATATTTTTTGCCATCTTTGGATGAACGTGCACTATCAATTGTCAGCTGAAGAGCACAAAAACATGCCTAACAGTTAAATTAACAACACGCCTCCGGCCTCAACATCCCGAACAAAAAATTTAACGAGCAATCCATCAATGCTAGGTCTTTCATGCTATGTACTAACCACTATCGACAACATAACAAATGCAAAGCTGTGTACATACATCAACAATAACAAACTTACAACACATAATACAAATTATTTTCTTTCTTTATTTTCTGTTGAATTCCTATTACATGTATATACATGTAGCAATATCATTTATAAATAATATTTACACAAAATGTATACATCATAATTCAAAAGACATCATAATATACAATACAAATATACAATAATGTGTTAATATTGTACATTTTATAACAAGCACAAAACTTTTTTTTATTTGAAAGGGAGTCACTATAGTCTACCAAATACTGTAGATCTGGGTATCAAAAGAACCAGGAGGGTCATGGGTCAAGGTCGAATGTCAAGAGATAGTTGAACAACCACAAGAGAGAGAGAGAGAGAAATGGGGTTTAACGTCCACTCGACACATACTAGGTCATTTCGGGACTAACATACGGTTAATTTTTTTTTATTTCAATAATTCGCTTGCGCGTAGGGGTCTTTAGCAGTGGGAGGAAACCGGAAACAACCACAGGAACCCTGACCTGCAAACTAGTGAACATTTGCCCCGTTTTTTTTTTTTAAAATGAAATTCATATACTGTGTAGGGACATTTCGAATCATTGTTTTCACTAACAAATTAAATAATCCTTTTCTTTAACAGGCTAAAATTGATGAGAGAGAGAGAGATAGATAGAGAGAGAGAGAGAGAGATAGATAGATAGAGAGAGAGAGATGGGGTTTAACGTTCACCCAACACAAAATAGGTTATTTCAGGACTAACATGATTCAATTTTATTTCAATAATTCGCTTGCGCGTAGGGGTCTTTAGCAGTGGGAGGAAACACACAAAGTTGGACAGGCTACCTTATTCCTTGTCACATAGAACCATGTCAGTTGACTAAATGACAGACCTTATGTTACAACGTCGCACCCACGCTAACCATTAGTCCTACTGTTCTGCTCTGACTGGGCTAATGAAGACTAGTATTTCTTACAAGTTTGCTGGGAAAACAGTTCACACAATCATAAATTTATTTATTTGTTCAATACCATAGAAATGTATGATCATGTACTGAACAAATGTGTGATTGTCTCAGACAGGTCTTTAGTTTTAAATACAATGGAAACTTTAAACTAATTCAATTGAAAATCTGACTTAGTACACTGTTCCTTCAATATGGTTACAACAATTAACCAAACATTAAACAAATATATCGGTAGTTATGACAAAAATGGTGATTTAATGATGATGAAAAAATTGATGATGGAAAATGAAAATAAATGAGCTAGTCGAGAACAACCAAGTTTCATCAACCTATCCAGCGAGTAGTTTTACTCTTTCCCAGAACGGCATCATAAAGATTTGAAGACAGGAATAAAATCATGGTGTAATAATTATGTTTATAATACATGAAAGTCTGGGAGAACATCATCATTATATTCAACTATTAATGGCACTGCTTTTAGCTTGGAATAAACCAGTTTCTATATTATAATATTGCTTCAAGAAATATATACTTTTCCGAGCAATTTCAAACAACCGTCACAAGGTGCAAAGAAGCCTTAACAGTGTTCAATACTAGAAAATGTGAAATTCTGGAAGTGAGAGATTATGTTCATGGATCAAGCTCCTTTCTAACATTAGTAAAAATCTGGTCCACTTCACCGACTCCAGCAACCAAGGAAAAAAATCAAATTTTAATCTGATTCCATTTTAACGCTATTTAGTCTTAAAATGGCAGAAATTAATGTGGATCTTTTGCTTTATAACAGAAATTTTTTGAAAAGCTTCAGGTCTTTGAGAATTTTGATGTAAACCTCTGATATTCAATAGCTACAAGTCAATAAGTGTAGCGCTGATGCTTAATATGACATAATGATGCAGAATGCAACAATTAACACTTGTATAATTTTAAAAATTTGAATGGATTAATTTACACCCATTACTTATAAATCAGGTAATAAAATTCAAAATTATAAATTTGCTGAAATTTTGGTAAATCAATTGAAAAATATTAATTTGCTAAACATTAGGAATGCACTTACTTCATCCCAAACTTGTAAGGTATTAAATGTAACGATTTGCCGATTTTGTTCCTGTCTTAAAATCACCTGGTTGTTCAAGACATCAATATAAAGAGATTCCTACATATTGGTTTTAATCGCTCCAGCCCAAGCTGTTTCAAATTGTATTTACAGATTTACATCTTTAGTTGAGATGTAAAATGTCCTTCACCAAAAGTTGGAAGTAGCCTCTATGCATAGTGCATTGTTGGCTGGTGGTGGATTAAGACTACATTATCAATAAGTTACAGCAAAAACTCTCTAGCATATACACACTGAGCGCTTTTTTTTGTAAAGACTTTTATTCATTGCAGTCAGATGAAATAGAACTTAATAAATGAAATGAAATGGGGTTTAACGTCCTACTGTTCTGCTCCTAACCTGGGCTAATGAAGACGGGCATACGCCATACAGTGTGCTATGGGGGAAATTTTGCCCGGGCAGCGGCACTATCGCCTACTCTTATATCGAATTCCAACTGCCAAGGGATCTTTTACGTGCATTCCAATGTATACACGGGACCTCGGTTTTTTGTCTCATCCGAATGACTAGACAGCTGTCCTTGTCAGGCCCTCCGTCCTGCATCACTGACAAGGGGAAACCACGCCAGAAAATCTGGATGAACTTTCTCGGCCAATGCAGGGATCGAACACCCGCCCTCCAGGCTAGGGAGCCAGCGTCTTACCCACTTAGCCACGTGATCCCCCAGAACTTAATAACGTCAACATAATACTTTGGTTGCTTTGAGAGTAACATGGTACGTTTTTTCTATGGGTATACATTTAAGGCAAGGGGCAAAAGTTTTGCCTAGAAACACCAAATGCTACAAAAATTGCAATTTGTCATAATGTGTAAGAATCTCTTAATATTGAGGTTAAAGGTCAAGTTATAATTATGTGTGTCTGTCTTTCCTTCCTCAAATACTGTTGTATTTCAAGGTAAGATGTCCTTGGAAGAACTGACAAAACACACAAATTAACCTCATCCTCCTCCAGCTCCTCCACGTCGTGTTGGTCTGTAACTACAACTGTCTCCTCCACTACCCATTAACGGATTATAATCTGAAATGACAAAAAAACATTTTCTGTTAGCAGCTAGGGAGAAAAGATATGACATGTGGTTAAAAATATTACTTATTTCCACCAACTAAGCTAATGAAGGCAGGTATATAAACACTGTGAAGTGTTCTATTTAAAATTGTGCCTGGAGAAAGGCACTACAAACTACATGTATTGGAGGATCTTTAACAGGTTGCCAATGGTAAACACAGGGCATTAGTACTTTGTAACCATTCAACCAACTAGTAGGTTTTCCTGGCCGGTCCTATGTCAAGAGAAAGCCAGACTGGAAAATCCCAAGAAACTTCTCTGCCAACGCCGTGATCCAACCTTCAACTGTTTGGTTAGTGAGACCAAAAAAATGAAATAGATATGCAGTATCCTATATTGTTTTCTTTTTCATTATGTCCAATCGTAAATACTCATATTCTTTTGAAATTCAATGATGATAGACTTTATCATCTGCTGTGCAAACTTTAGATTGCTCGGACAATCACCTACATATAAAATATTAATCATCCTTGTAAAATGTTTTTTAAAAATAAATTAAGTGTGCTCATAACTGGTATCCCTATGATAAACATACATTATGCAAGAGCTAAATCTGCCTATTGTAAGTCTTTATTTAGGCTTCAGATGTTATAAAAATTATTAATTAGATCTTTATTTACATGACAAGCTCAAAATCAACTCTGTAGACCCTTGGATGGCTTGGATATAGCTTGGATTTAAACAGTCGTCCATTTAATAATTAAATCAATAATTGGCCGACCAAGCTAACGTTTACCGTTAGTTACTGACGTCACTACCGGTGACAAATGATGAAAGGTCTGCCAAGCAAGGGTACCATAGCCATTGAGACTGTTACTTGATAATCGAGAATATGTGGGTGGAGTTATCATCTGTCAATCAAACGATCGGCAATTCTCGTAGATGATGTGGAGAAAACCCAAGAGGTTGCACAGGAGACCCTATTCCTGGTCAAGTACAACCGTAGAATCGAAACCATGCCAGTTGACTCAATGACAGACCATATGATACAGCGAACACGTGCTGAACACGTGCTAACCATTCGGCTGTCCATGCCCCCAGTCTTTATTAGAAATTTATCACAAGTCAGTTAATGTGAAGAAAACATCCTGTTATTTCTTATTTAAAATCTATATTTTGATCCAAGACAATAAAATGTTAAGGAACAGTTCATTTACAGTCAACACCAAAACAGAATGAGAATGATCTGGGTTAGTTACAGAGCGTTATACACATCCTACGTCACCACCTGTGAAACATAATTGCATGTATCTATGCATTTCAATTTTATAATTTAAATAATGGTCGATAGAAACGACATTGTTTTGTGCACCCTTGCCAAATATACAAGTCATATAAGGGATTTTGTCCTAATAGTGAGCATATTCTCAGATATCTAAACAAAATATACAGCATGACTCAATCGGTCTTTCTACAGCTTTCTAGAAATGCAAACACAAACTTTGCCATTACTCTTAGGTTATCGAATGATCTTTACCCTAGGCTTTCCCGGGTTAGTATTCAAACAGACCTAGGGCTATAATAACTTGGTGTATATCGAGAAACCTTCCTATTAGACTTGGTTGTTGAGAATGATACATTGAGAGAGAGAGAGAGAGAGAGAGAGAGAGAGAGGTCTTTAGCAGTGGAAGGAAACCGGAGGGCACGAAGAAAACCCACGAGGTTGGACAGGCGACCCTACTTCTTGTCACGAACAACCGGGGATTCGAAACCATGCCAGTTGACTCAATGACAGGCCTTATGATACAGCACACACTGCTAACCATTTGGCCATCCAACCCCCCCAGAGTGAGCCAGAGCAAGAGAGAGAGAGAGAGAGGGGGTTTAAGTCCACTCAACACAAACTAGGTCATTTTGGAACTAACATATAGTTCAATTTTATTTCAATTATTTGCTTGCGCGTTGGGGTCTTTAGCAGTGGGAGGAAACCAAAGGACCTGGAAAAAATCCACGAGGTTGGACAGACAACCCTACTCCTTGTCAGGTACAACCGGGGAATCGAAACCATGCCAGTTGAATCAAAGACAGACCGTATGATACAGTGCGCATGTGCTAACCATTCGGCCACCCAAGCCTCCCATGATACATTGTATAAATGGGACATATTATTAATATTAGTAACAGCAATGAAACTTATGCTGTCTGTCTACAATTAGCTCCGCTTAAGGGCGTTAAGTAGTCTAAGATATGCACTAACTTTTCAACATCAATCATATTAAGACTTTGTAGACTTGTACCATGTGTAAAATAACCCATGTGTAACAATGGAGGTAAAAGCGGAAAGAAAAAAAAAATATTTATAGCAAACAAGAAAGTTTCCCTGATCTAGATCGGTTCTTTAACAAATTGTGACGTTGTACACGCCATCATCCGCTCTAAACAAACATGGCAGTGTCCAGCAGCAGTTTCACAGTGGATCACTGACATGTATCTATATATGACGTCAGAAGGAATTCCCTCTAAGATGCGATTATCCAGTCTACCATCTATCGCGACTGAAACATGGCTGAATTTCATTATTTGATGGTCGAACACTACCATTTTCAAATGTATAATATGATTTTTTACGTCCAAATTACTGTATTTTAAATCTTGTTGTGGACCTTTTCAAAGAATTCACCGAAAATCACAAAGTCTCGTTTGAAGGTAAATAATGAACAAAGATTTTAAAATACTTTGAGATGACCGTTTGCAATCCGATCTACAGGGGGGATTAGCAATATCTCTTATTTTTAGCATGTACTAATAGAATTTCCAAGAAAACTCATCCTTTTTTTGTGTTTCCATGTGCATTTTAGACTGCTCAATGCCCTTAAGAACAGACACAAAGCTAGCTGACTGACACTTTAATTCCTAATTTGACAATTTTAGTCGAAAACAATAAGTATACTACAAGATGAATATTGAGATTTATTTATTCTGTTTCCATTTAATGGAATTTAAACTGTTTATTATTCTTTGTATCAAAGATGTAAAACAGATTAGAACCGCATAATAAAATAAGTCACAAATTTAAAGCTCTTCTGAAAACAATTTAAAGATCTTCTGAAAAACGAAACTAAATTTGTGGCACCAAAAAAAGAAAGAATCTCAGCTCACCTGTTGGGCGTAAAGGTTTTTTATTTTTTGGTTTTGAAAATGAAGTTGATGGACCAGAACTAGAAGATGCTGATTCCTCAGGCTGAAAAAAAAAAAAAAAAAAAAAAAATTACTTTTCTAAGATAATACAGAAAAATTACCCACCTAAAAACAAATCAAGAACAATCTTTACATATAGCACTGACAAAACATTTACTGACTTCACAGATTTCACTTAGTACACAATCTGGTTTGGTTACTTTTGCATCATTTATTAATGTATTTGGTGGGAAATCAATGTTTCGGCTAGAGATATTCTAACTATAAAACTTTTCAACTTTCCAATGGTTTATTATTGTTTGCTTATATCATGTTGTATTTCTTATCTACTGACATTTCGAATTCAAAATAGGGCTTCCAGTAGGGCCACTGCCTGGACAAAATTTACCGCATAGCACAGTGCATGGCATATTCCTGTCTTCATTAGTCTGGATGATGCAGAAAAGTCATTTCATTTTCAATTGTTATTTGTAGACCTCCTTATATAGGTCTATAGAGTATGCTATAGTCTATTGTATACAAATACATATACTGGTTCTCTGATAATCCTTACAAACAATATGATGCCGGAAGGAGATTCGTATTTTTGAGTCTTGATTTTGTCAAAGGATCACTAGTTCACTACTTGACTAAATGACTTCTTATTTATAAACATCACATTTTATGGTACAACTGGGGAATCGAAATCACGCCAGTTGACTCAATGACAGACCTTATGATACAGTGCGCACATGTTCTAAATATTCGGCCATCCAACCCCCCATCCCTAGATAGATACATTACAATTAATATAAACATACATAGACATTTAGATGAAAATATCAAAGAATACAAAGAAGATTATAGAAATAGAAAATAGGTTTATAATATAAACTATCAATTAACATACATTATCCCATTAAGTCGCATTCTTATTGTACTACTTATTATGAGGACTATGTCCTTAAATGTCATATCAATATTAAGGTAACCAATTAGACCATAGAAAAGTAATTATGGTGTCTTGACGGACCGTGGTGACATGGCTCCCCCCTAGAAAAGATGGCGTCCACATAGTACATCATCTAGATTTAGGATACCGTCATGTATACATGTATGATTATGGTCATACAGCCAACATAACATGATCAACATGTATATAAATATATATAAGAAAATATGCATTTCACAATAAGTCAAAGTAATATTTTCGATTAAAATAAGTTAATAAATAAATCATTAAACCCTTCAACACTTGTACTGCCATGAATATGATTAAATCACATGGCCAATACATATAAGTAATAGATAAGTCAAGGTCTTAATCTTGAAATACCATCCTGTATATGACTAAGGTCATATAATGCCAAAGTTACATCGTCAATCATAACTCATAAGGAATATATATAAAATAAAACATAGTATTACAATGAAATTATTATGGTAGCCAAATAAATAGACCATAGAAAAGTAATTATCAGGTCTTGACAGACTGTGGTGACAAATGTATGATTATTCAGTATCATTTATGATTGCCAGTAAGATAAATGATCTTAGGGAACATATTTGGAGACATTGGAATTTCTATATGTTTAGTTCTTGTGAACCAGGTAAAATAATTACATGCAGTAATTAAATAATGAATTACTCTTTGCAATAAAAACAGGTCATACAATACTTTTCATGTATTGCAGGATTAACTGGAATTCTGTTTGTATCAATTTTATCGCATAACTTAAAATAAAGTACCGAGCCATTAAAAGTAGTTAAACCGCCAATATTTGATATCTTGGTTCATCGTAAACTGTCAAATAACAGGTTTGCAGAATGCGTCTCATTCATTTAGCCAGAATGTAGCAGCTGTTTTGTCTTCATTATCATCATGGGGGGTCATGATGGCTAAGTGGGTAAGACGCTGGCTCGCTAGCCTGGAGGTCGGGTGTTTGATCACTGCTTTGGCTGAAAAAGTTCATCCTGATTTTCCGGCGTGGTTTCCCCTTGTCTGTAATGCAAAACTGAGGGCCTGACAAGGACAGATGTCTAGTCGTTTGTATGGGATGAAAAACCGAGGTCCTGTATACACATTGGCGTGCACGTAAAAGATCCCTTTACAGTTGGAATTCAATAGAAATGAAATGAAATGAAATGGGGTTTAATGTCCTACTGTTCTGCTCCTATACTGGGCTAATGAAGACAGGTATATGCCATACAGTGTGCTATGAGGGAAATTTTGCCCGGGCAGTGGCACTATCACCTCCGTCCAGCATCACTGACAAGGGGAAACCACGCCGAAAATCTGGATGAACTTTCTCGGGCAATGCAGGGATCGAACACCCGACCTCCAGGCTGAATTCAATAGAAGAGTAGGTCATAGTGCCGCTGTTTGGTCAAAATTTCACTCATAGCACACTGTATGGTGTATGCCAGTCTTCATTAGCTAACCCCATTTCATTTCATTTTATTTTATTATTATCACAGATGCATCCAGCACCACTGACAATCACTAAGCCAGCAGATTCTATTTTCTGTCAAACATATCAGTTTCATAGTTCATTTTGCTGATTCTGCTTCAGGCACCCCAGCATGAAATGTAAATCGCACAATATTAAGGCAGAGCGCATCATATACACAAATGTAATTAAAAGATAGAAGACAGCGGGAATGACAGATTATTTTTATGACAAGCACATAATGAGGTGGTTAATAAGATTGCCATCGGTAAGACATTATACCTTTCATCATATTGTAGAAAGGCTGTGGAATCAGGATATGGACATGCATCAACATCTTTGATCATAAAACTACCAAATATAACCCAGTCTACCTGAAAGTTCCTTCAGGACTTTCTGAACTTAATGTAGTAAATATATTTTGGAAATCTCATTAACAACCATGGAAAGAGACTGAAGTATTTTTCAATTCATTAAATGTTCATCCCCAAAATAATATATTCAGGTTGACAAATATGTTTTGACAGATTCACCAAATACACCCCCCAGTGTTTTTATCTACCGAGCATCTACTGCGTGGGTTCATAGTTGGCGGTACATTTCGGTCATGATCTCTTATTATTTTAAAAGTTGACCGAAATATCTTGGGAACCCATCAGTCAAGTTACCTGTCATAATTTCTGTAAAACTAGCATATTTTTGCAAAACCCTATTTTCAAACATCGACTACAATCGACCTGCACCACATAACTCAATGACAGATTTTATGATACAGCGCGCGCACGCTAACCATTCAGCCATCCAACCCCCCCCATCCCCATTATAACAGAATTCCCTTTATACTATAGTGAAACACATTCTAGTTGACCACTGTATGTGAAATAAATTGTAGTTGCTATACTTGATTCCCCATTATAACAGAATCCCCTTATAGTGAAACACATTCTGGTTTACCACTGTATGGTGGAATCCTCATAATAGTGGAACATATTGTAGTTGACCACTGTATAGGGGAATCCTCATAATAGTGGAACATATTGTAATTAACCCCTTTGTGAAACCCAAGTGCTAAAATGGGACATCATGTAGCAGACTATGTGTCGTGTAGTCAACCAACCTTTCAATATATATTGTATTAGTACAAAATAATTACTATAGTAAAGGTCTCTGTGCTCATGTAATCAAATCATAAAAAAATGATTTTTTGTAATTTTTAAATAATTGTAAAATAATTCAGTGGTAAGAGTATGAACAAATGCTGGATTACCAGACATTAGTCAAAATATATTTATTTCTACAAAAACAGAAAATACACCACATGTTCTGGAAGGCGATAAATTATATAAAGGGATAATCAACAAAGCTTACTTCCTGTGTAAGAAACTCTATCTATATAATGTTTTATGACTTCCTTGATTACCTTGTACCAAAACAACAGATTGTTATAATACTAATTGATATGTTTCAATAGAATTTATATGACAACGTAGCTAGCAGGAATGCGGAACACTATCAAGATAAATCAAATGTAACAACAATAATTGACTGTATGTATACTACTATTAACCTCGTCGGACAGTGACTGTCATAACCTTAATATAAACCACACATTATTCTTTCAACTTATGTATCTGAGTTTAATATTCATCATGACGGTGGTTCAGTCACAAAAATGAATAACCTTCAAGTTTTGAATTTTGCATGTGTCTAAAGTTAATTGATTTTGTTATGTGCTAAAAATTTGTGTTCTATGAGATGTAATAGCCATTCAAACAGTTAGATGTAATAGCCCCAAGGGACAGATTTTAGGCCCTCAAAAATGGATTAAACCAAGGGACAGATTTTAGGCCCTCAAAAATGGATTAAACGTCTATAACTTTATTAATACCTTAAATCTTGGCACAATAATACCTAAGTACATATTCACAAACATAACGAGAAATATTTAATCCATATTATTATTTATATTAATCAAAACAATATTTCAAACAAATTTTTGGCAAAGACAAATTTCGACAGTACTGTAAGATATCATAGATCATTTCATTACAGTCATATCGAATATTGACGTCACTGTGTAAATATTCTAAGGGATCATTCTATACAATTTTGGATCATTTTTGGTCTAAAGTGTGCACTTTTGATCACAAGGTCTGTAATAAAAGTCAACTGCCGTGTTTTCAATTCTCAACTTGTACCTGACAAGGAGTAGGGTTGTCTGTCCAACCTCGTGGGTTTCCTCCCACAGAAAGACCCCTATCGGCAAAAAATTAAACTATATGTTAGACCCGAAATAACATCATTTGTGTCAATAAAAAAAAGCAGTCATTAATCAAACCTTTCCTCTGTATTTTAAATTTATTATTTATTTTAGCACTCACTATTAAATGATATTACATTAAAAATCTTATTTGTTAAATATATCTAAAAACCCGTTGCATCTCTCACATTTCTTTTAACCAATATCTGCAAATCAACAAAATTCACTGATAAAACAACAAATTTTATTGATCATGATAATACAAACAAATTTTATTGATCAATCATAATACAATCCAACAAAGACGTTGGTAATCAAGCCAGGCACGTTTAGTAATTCTCTCCTGTATAATCTTCTAATAAACTGATTTCAATAGCCTCAGAGAAAATTCAGAATAAAGCTGGGTGATTTGTGTCCAAGACCAAACAAAGGTTGGATTTTCTTTTTAGCTAACATTTACTAGTGGCTATTTGTTTTAAGCAGATTCAAGTCCAAAATCCTCCATGTATTTATAATCAATTTTCTTCTAATCAGTAGCCTTTCTGATTTCAGATTTTTAAGTGCAATTATTTACCATATAGGACAAAAAAATTTGCCAGTAATATCTGAAATAGATCAGGGCCCTTATTCACGAAAACTTAAACTAAGATACAATCGAAATTTTAAGAAATACTGCAATTCGATTGGATGACCAGTAAAATCAATTTGCATATATCCAATGAAGTTGCAGTATTTCTTAAAATTTCGGTTGTAACTTAGTTTAAGTTTTCGTGAATAAGGGCCCTGAACTCAAATATAAATTATTTGGTTTGCTTTAATTATTATATGTAATGTTTGAGATCTAGTTCGTTTATAACTAATGTAAACTAAATATTTCTTGTATAGAAAGTTCAGATCAAGAAATGATAATTCCCTGATGATGTTGGTCTGCCATTGTATGTAATACATATAACATAAAGTACATATTCAGAAAATAAACAAATTATTACATGTACAAAACAAACTGAACATAATTTTCTTATTTTGATCAAATTGAAGTGATATATAGAACCAACTGTTTTCAACAAGTAACCAGTCAATTGAATAAATAACACTATTAAGCAAAAGATCTCAAATTGCTGAAACGCTTGAACATTTTAATATGGTTATTTCCATATGAAAAATATTCACAATATTTATAACCTTATGACTTAAAGTGCATGTGGTAACCCATTCGACCATCCACCCACACCATCCCCACTTACAATCAAAAAACAATTTATACCCATTTGCCAAGTTCAAAAAACTTCCCTCACTGACGTTTCTCTCTATTAGCCAAATCCATTGGTTGCCCTTCCTAAATATATCTAACACTGTGCACCACAATAAAAAATCTCAGTTAAATACGCAAATTAATGTGAAAAACACAGATAAATGTAAGAAAGTATTATTTAAAGATCTTAAATCACTTCCTTTTTTTTTAAAAAAAGATCTTTTAGAGTTTTGCAATTGTTAAGTTACAGGTTTAAAATAAATTCTCACTTTGATTTATCTGAAATGAATTAAATAAAAAAACAAATGTCAAAATTTATTGTTATAAATGACACATGAAACCTTTTCGTGAGAAAAATATTGAACTGTAAATAGCAATGATATAAGTACCAATAATTCTTGTATTTATTTATGGTTGCAACATATTCCAGTTAACCAAAATAGCTCTGTGTTCAATTTTAAAATACATAGTCATGACCACAAAAATGCATAAAAATGGTACGTGAGTGGTCCTGTATTTCGATACACCAAAAACACATGTCATCTAAATCCATTTATAATTAGTTGGGATATCTTCACTCAGAGTTTAATGTCACAGAGACTAAATAACGTACACCACATTAGTCTCTAAATTTTGATGCCAGAGACTAAATACCTAAACCACTTTAGTCTCTATATCAAATCAAAATGGTGGAAACTATATATGAACAATACTCATTCTCTTATTTGGGATTATTGGATTATAAAATGCCTTTATGGTACCGTTAAAAAGCAAGGCCAGGTTTGTTGCTATACAGTTTAAAAATATACATGGGATTGACGAAAGCCAATCATTATCATCTCATATCATGCCATAAATTAAAAACTGAACTTTATTCAAAGTTCAATAATAACAGAAGATTTGTTTAGTACATGTAAAAAGACAAATTCCACCCCCAAAATTTTAGAAACCGTTAAATCCTGATTGTTCTTCAAAAGGGTAGATCTAGGTCAGGTGTTTTTTATAGATAACTTAAGAGTTTCAAAAGCTTAAAAAATTATAGCTGTATATTTATAAAGATGGAAAACATATTTTATAATGTTGTTTTTTTTTTTTTGTAAATCAAAATGTGAAAAACAATAAATAAAAAAATACTAAAAGGCATCTTTTAACATTTATTAATTATTGGCAGAAAAAATAATATATGGCATGAAATCTGGCAAGAAAAAAAATGGCGCCCAGGGTTAGCACTGGAGAGCAGTCTTATTGTTTTCTTATCAAGTTTTGGAAAAATTTTCTACTTGATAATGGAAGAAGTCCCCGCGTTAAGTGGTTGTACAAACATCCGTTAGACTGATCTTTAAATATGAAGGTGAACTATTTGTTGTTAGCACTTTTATCCTATAACCTCGATTTAACTCTTATATAATGTTTTTAGAGATTTATATATTTGATTATATTATTGTGAGGTCCCGATGTAACTGAAGACTCCAAGAGTGAATGATATGTGCTTTATATTTATGTTGACTAAAATATAACAAGCAATAAGTGAAGCTTATCCCATAATAAATAGATGACACTCATTAATTAATTGCACATTTATATTTTCATAAAGGATCAAGCGATCAAATTACTTATATCATAACCCAAGCAGAAAATGCAGATTATCGAATTTAGTCAAAGTATTGATGTATACACACAATTTCATTACTCCCCGAATTATTGTGTTATAATTAAAGCACTGACAAATCGAAGTGCTTACATCTGCTTGAACTTCGTTAAGGCATCGATGTATGTGTAAATGAAACTATCACTGAATTGGAATCAAAATTATCATGTTCCAAATCGAATTGCTTACCCCTGCTTAGCCTAGCCATAGCAAAAAATGATCATAATCGAACACAGTCAAGACATTCTGCTAATAAATATCTACACCAAGTTTGAACATTCAACCTAAAACTACAATAGAAGCAGAGTTATTGATTTCCCCAAAAATTTTGTTGGACTGACAGACAAATGGACAAACTCATTTTATTAGTCACAGTTTTCTCTGAAAGGTGGGAGAACCTAAAACAATTCAATACCTGAATCTTGTCAGCATGGCATGCACAATCATATTTTACTAATCATACGGAAGTGAAAAATATTAATAAGATTAATTTCTTGCTTAAAGTTACTGTTATATTTTAATAAAACAGTAGGACAATAATACACCCCATTTCATTTAATTTATATTTTAATAAAATAGTAAATAAAATAATAAACCCAATCAAATATATGTATATCACAAACAATTAAATAGCCGAATCTTATCTGCATGGCATGTATATACCAAAGACAAAAATATTATTAAGATTAATTTCTTGATAAAAGTTATGGTTATATTTAATAAAAAAGTAAATCGAAAAAACGTAATCTATCACCAACTCACAGCTTGCACAGTTGGCAAACCAGTGATATACAATGATTTACCAACTCTGTCTTCAATTTCTTAACCTAAGGAAATATTACTGAACTGGATTCTATGAACAGTCTTGAAAATACATTTTCTTATAAAACTCTCATGTCCCAATTCAAATGAATATGAAGCATCCATAAATTCACTTAAAAAAAAAAAGTTTGATCAATTAAGAGACAATTGTGTAGGTGTCGCCCCAAGCCAATGTGATAATGTCAATAATAATTCTCTGAATAAAGGAAAGATATTTAATCAAGCACATAAACCCCAGCAACATTAGCCAATTGTAATTACTTAATGTAAAAAGAGGGTTATTACGAGTTTCCTATTTTAACAAACTTTGTCATATCTTTGTCTCACAAATTAATTACTAGATTGATGAAGGGGGTCTTGATGATCCTCATCATGTTAGCAGGCCATAAATCATATGATTATTCCCATAAACCATAATTGACAACTACTTATTTTATGTATTTTCTCATCACATAAAGGTGTAAATTTCTTGCACGGCACTTTTTTTTAATGGAGCTTGATCACTCATCCAGTCTTGGACGTTTTTCCTCCAGTTTGTGACGTCATAGAAGTCTGTGGGTTGATAATCATATGCCCATTATAATAGTCGCCTAGGATTGGATGGTATATAAAAGAGTGGTTAATATCTAACTCCAGTCTTTTTCAATTGTGTTTTATTCTCAAAGGTAGTGCCTAACTGCTCAAGGCTTTGGTTAAAGAAAACATTTCATAGCTCCTGTTATCTTTCTTAAGGTAAGATTCTTCTTTTTTTATTATTATCAAAAAAGTTTAGCATTTTTTCAGAACTTATTTTGATCCACTATTATCGTTTTTGTAATTTATTTAATTCTTTTTTTTTTCCATTTTACCCTCTTTTGTTTAATTGTTAAATTTTTAGTCAGAACTAAATGTTCCATGGGTTATGGGCGTTTAGAGTAATCTTCAATGAATTCCATGTTTGAATTATTATATTTAAAGCCCCCAAAAGAGTTATTTGAATTACATTTTTTTTTCTTCAAAAAAGCATTGTACTTGGAATAATTTATACATAAAAAAAAATTTGGAATTTTATATTAAGAGCAAAAAAAAAGGTTTGATTGACTTGGTGTTTTTGAAAAAAAAAAAAAAAAAAAAGAATCACTGGAACACATCAATTATTCATATCCTGTTTTTTCGTTTTTCTAATAATTGTTTCTCAATATAAAAAGTAATAGTTTATTTTTGCTCACTGGAAATGACATAAAAACAAAGGAAAAAAAAACATAATTGCTGCAAACTACCTTCCTAAAAGAATGGTAGTAACATTTTACTTAACATTACAATAGATACATTTAGAATGTATGGCTAAAGTACATATATACAAAGAATATCCTGTCTTTATAATACTATTTCTCCTATAGTTAATGCATACTATTAATTATTTGTTAGGTATTAGGCGATATCTACAGTGTGTTATCTCCTTGGAGATATTACCAGTACTACTCTACTTCAAGTTTTTCTTTGTTGAGAATTTGTTCAATAAATAATATAGATAAATTACTGTACTACAAAACACTGACAGACTAAATTTTACTAGAACAAAGCACAATAATATGCATATTCCTAACTGAACTTTTGCACATGAGATTTGCATTAATATATCACTGCAGAAATATTAAATATATACTGTTAAGAAGTTTTTACGTTTACATATAAAACATCTCACCCACTGGTATGAAGCAGCGTTTCTTTTGTCAATAGCGGTGAAAGTACTGCATAAAGTGACAGACGAGAAAAAATATGCCATAGATATGCACAGTCTACATATTTAAATGATTTCATAAAAAAATGACAAAATTAAAGATAATTGAAATTCATCGGGAGGGCTTGGTAAGGGTAACAGAACCTGTGACAGTTGGAATTCGAAATAACTGCCACTGTCCGGGCTAAATTTCCCTCATTAGCCCAGTAGGAGCAGAGTAGTAGGCCTTAAACCCCTTTTCATTTCATTTCTAATTAGAAAAAAGCACACCTATGAATACTGTCATTGGATTGATCAGTATACTGAGTTATATATACCAGAAGATATATTTTGAACTGTTTCTGAGATAAATTCAGTAAATATGCTTATAATGGTTCCTACTTCTCCTAAAGCTTGATTCCAGGAGGTTGGAGTTCAGGAATTGGAAGTGGTTAGGAAAAGAAAATTGATAATCACTTATCACTCTGTAGCATGATTTTAACACAAAATTGTTTTCCATAAGGTAAACATCCCTTAATCGACTTAAAACTTATCAATTTGATTTTTATTGGTCAACATATTCCATGTTCTAATCTGAGCCAAGGGATTGGAAAGAAAATTTAACATGCCACTGTTCTGTACCAACCAGTCTAAAATATGGTTAGTGTAAAATGTATTTCTGTCCATATACTTTCCATATTATTTAAATACTGGATGATCAAACCCTCAACCCTGGAACTTCAGTGATCCACTGCATGGCTGAAAAACCCTAAATATTTAAAATCCTAATGAACTTAATAAAGCCATTTTGATCCAGTAACTTATTTATTGATCATTGAGATGGATTTTGTTTTTACTTATACTTATTTATAGTCCCGAACGACTATATAAAGGTTACATCTGCACAATCTCTCTTATGCCTGATGAGTTCGAACGGAACGAAACTAGTTGCTTCATGAGAGCAATCTGGGACGGCTACTTGCCACTCATAGATTTCTAATTTTAGTACACTTACAGCTAAGAATTTTTTAACTGCGGTCACCTTAAAACGAGAAACCGAACTGACAGTCAAACTTTACTTAGGGTGAAGTTGACCCCTTACCGAAACGACTCTGATCAATTTTACGTCCGGAACTTTACCGGAGTATAATCTGCCAATCAGAAAGCATTTGTTCTGCCATCAGCCATTATATCGGAGTACAAAACACTTCATAAATTTAACAACAAATTTATACTGTTATACCGGAGTCAAAATTCTCCGGAATTTGAATAGCAAATTTAGACGATTTTGATTCAAAGTAGATCACCATCATCGTATAAAAGGTAAAACTATTCTGGTAGCTTTATACGCCTTATAAAAATATATACGCTCAAATCCGAGCGAAAACTATTTTTAGCTTACCAAAACGAAATTCGATCGTTTATATAATGGTTTATGACCCCACCATTGTTCAATTTAGCAAGCCCTCCAAAGAGAAATGGCATCTATTATCCTATTCGAAAATAGTCCATGCCGTATATACTCTCCGTAAAAAAGCCAATCACATCATTTAAATGGCTGATACACAAGTAGAAATATTACAGTACAGATAATTGGGCCTTTCACGACTGATTCCAACTGAGATATAAACGATGTGTCACGTTGGATAATATTTGAACCATTTTAAATCGAAATGGGTTCACACTTCGGAACTTTCACAAAGAATGGCTATACAAATTCATAAGATTTAGTCCCGAAGGGTCCCCACATTCTTTATATTTATATTTACTTATCATCATCATCCTTGAAGTTGCAAATTCTGTTGATGTATTTAATTTTTATTGAATGATATCCGTAGAATGTGTCATTGATTGTGGTGTTAATATGTTATTAAAAATGTAAAAGTGTTGAGGGGCAGCACATGTGCTCCATAAACATATTGATTACACAGGCCACACAAATTTGATGTGATGTTCTTCAGATTCGGGGCCCTAATAAATAAATAGCAAATTGGTTTATAAAATTTCAAAAATTAAACATTTGATTGATACTAAAAGCTTATGAACAGCACAACAAAGTACTTTTTAATTAAGTCTTTTTCTTAACGAAATAAGAAGGAAAGTTTTTACAGGTATTCCTGAAGAACAGATAATAAAATTGGTGTTGCCTATCAATAGAAAGCCATAACTTTAAATTCTCTGTACAGTATCTGTAGTATTTTCTGTAATTAATGAACCCTGATATTATTTCCAAATCAATAAATGTTTAGTCATGCAATCAATAGATGGCCATCCATTTTCTGCACAGACTTTTGAAGTATTTGTAGAATTTTTTCAGAAATGTACAGATAGCATACTGAAAATGCAGTTAAGAAATCAAACAAATCTGGAACTTCATAATTCAAAAATCAATTGATATTATAAAAAGCTGTAGTGTTAACAAATAAATTATTTGTTCTTGATTCTAATACATTCTTAAACTCAGAGTAATAGCCTTAAAAAAAGAACATTGATTTCAATAATGATGTTTGATTCTATGAGATCCCACATTACCATTAACACTATCTATTGTACCGGAAAAACTGACATTTGAAGAGATCAATCAGTACGAGGAAAGAAGGAGATCTTGTTAAAATCTTAGGTTTTCTTTGTGACTCAGATTTGTTTTCTGTGATTGTTTTTAACTTGATTTGATTTTTACACTTAATGGTATTTAGATAACTAAGTTCAAATTTCAAAACACTTTAGCCGTACAGAACAGTGCTTAGCTGTGACGGATATATCTGACTTATAACACATCTAAACAAAGTGAAATCAATCTTAGAACATTAAAGGTTTGATCCCGGTGTAGACAGAGAGGTTTCCTGTGAATTTCCTGCATGGTTTCCAAACTGCATTTAGTTGTTCTGATGGGGCGAAAACTGATGTCCCATGTACCGGTACACATTTCTGTGCACCTGCAACAACTAAAACAATTTGACCATTGAAATTCAATTGCTGTCCGTTCAAAATTTCCTTCATAGCACAATGTATGGCATAAGCCAGTCTAAGCCAGGTTGGTGCCGAAAAGTGGAACTCAAACCCCATTTCAATTCCTTAAATCATTCATTGAAAACATTAATGTTTAAAATTTATAAAGTATTTGATCTAAGGTAATAACTAATCAGCTAATAAAAATTGTACCTTGATCAATTTGATTAATCTGAAACTGATCCCTGAAATTGATACCCAACAGTCAAAATGTAAAGTGTTTTTACCTGTAAAACAACAGATTGAAGATAGTCAGGTAATTATATGAAATACCCAATAAATCTATTACTTTATTTCCCTACTAAAACCTGTGATATTACACTTTCACTTAATTAATTCATTACGGTACAACAGAAACAGTGAGACAGTATGTTATAGGCTGATTGGCTGACAAAGTAGTTAAAGCGCTTTTAATGAGGAATGCCAGATTTTCGACTATGTTACAAAAATATATATCTAATCAATTATAAACTCCTATTTATTTCTTTAAATTTCTAAAATATAGTATTTGTCCTAAAATAAAATAAGTTATTAAGGAATGTTTCATGATCCCGAGACAAGTATCCCAATTAAAAAAAAAACAGACAAATTAAATGTCAACAAATCAAGCTGAATACATTTCAAAGAATGTAAAAGTGCTCTGTCCTGTATAACCTTTAAAAGTCAGATTCTGAACTTAAAGTAAACTCAATGAAATGGAGAGAGAGAAAAATGGTGTTTAAATCCACTCAACACAAACTAGTTTATTTCCGGACTAACATATGGTTCGATTTTAATTCAATAATTCACTTGTGCGTAGGGGGGAGGAGAAGGGGGGCGGGGGACAGACGACCCTACTCCTTGTCATTTACAAGCGGAGATTTGAAACCACGCCACTTGACTCACTTACACGTTCACGCGTTAAACATCCAGACCACCAACTACCCAACCGACTCTCAATGAAATGAAAAAGGGTTTAGCATCCAACTTTTTTGCTCCAGCAATAGGGTTCCACCTTGTCCCCGAGTGAACAATCCAACCAAGT